TGGAAGATTGGGGACGGTTTTTCTGCAATTCTGAAACAGCGAGTGATTGTGACCTTTTTGTTGAACAACGATGGTTAACCTTGTGGATCGTTTTCTCTGTTAGCAAAGAAGAAGAAGGCTGAGTTCTCTAAGCTGTTGATAAAGGCTACATGGTTCGCTGGTTTGAATATTTTAAAGATTTTGAAGATGGTCTGGTTGAATACTGTCTTCTTTTTGTTACTTGTATTTGGGAATCGATAATCTCCTCATTTGATTTAGAGTTGCTGGTTGCTATCAAAACACCTCTGGTTTTTTGTTATTTGACTTACTATTATTGTAATTTTACTTAGTAGTGTTGTAACTACAAATTGGTTAGTTTGATCACAGCAGCATGGCATGACAATATGGAAAATGTTGGTATTTTGTTTGTGGGCAGAGTAATGTTAACATTTGGTATTTATACATGACAATTTGAAAATGTTGGTATTTTGTTTATGGGCAGAGCAATGTTAACATTTGGTATTTATAGTTGTAAATAGTATCAATATAGATCCATTTAATGTTCTAAAATTCATGATAGACCTCCTCACATATTTATAATTTCACTTACCACAGTTGTTATTTGACTTTTCACTCTTGTCAATTTTCATAACTTGTCATTCACCTTACTCAACTTGTCATAAATTACATATCAGAACTTGTCATTTGTTAAAGAAATCTGAAAATTCTGTCATTTGAAAAGAGAAAATTAAATTTTTATAAATTGCTTATTAGAAATTGTTATTCGTTTTACTAAATTTGTCATTTGTCTTACTCAACTTGTCATTTACTAAAAAATCTGGAAATAAACAAAGTTATAATTTGATATACTTAACTTATCATATATTATACTTAAATTATGATTTTCTAAAGTCAAAAACAATCATCTTGTGATGATAGAAATGTAGTAACAGAAACATAGAATTTGTTACATTACGTCCACGTTGGTAGATATTTTGAAGTAAGTGATGAAGGGGAAGTTAAATATATTGGAGGGAATGTAACGATCACCATTGTTGTAACTTCGCTTGCTCGCTAGTGTTGTTAATGCAGACTTTTAACTATTATGACAACAATGTAGTGATAGAAACACATGACAATATGATAATTATGGTCTTTTTATATTGTGCAGAGGAATGCTAACATTTTTTGTTAATCAGTTCTATATTGTAACAATGTAGAGCTATTTAATATTGTTCACTTAATTAGAAACGTGGTGACAGAAATGCAGCGATAGAAACACAAAAATTCTATCATTTGCCTTACTGAACTTGTAATTTACTAAAAAAAATCTAAAAATTCTGTCATTTGAACCAAAAAAATTAAATTCGTATGAAATGCTTATCAGAAGTTGTCATTTGCCTTACTAAAATTGTTATTTGCCTAACTAAACTTGTCATAAATTACTTATTAGAACTTGTCATTTGCTAAATAAATCTAGAAATTGTCACTTGAAAAGAAAAAATTAAATTCATATGAAATGCTTCTCAGAAGTTGTCATTCACCTTACTAAACTTGTCATTTGCCAAGGAATTGTGCAAATTGTCGTTTTAACATAGAATGTTAAATTCCTATGAGTTGCTTATCAGAAGTTGTCATACACCTTACTAAACATCCTTGGCGAATGACAAGTTGAGTAAGAAGAATGACAAGTTTAGTAAGGCGAATGACATCTTCTGACAAGCAATTCACAAAAATTTAATTTTCTCTTTTCAAATGATAGAATTTTCATATTTCTTTAGCAGATGACAAGTTCTGATATGTAATTTATGACAAGTTGAGTAAGGTGAATGACAAGTTGTGAAAACCAATTGACAAGAGTGGAAAGCCAAATAACAACTATGGTAAGTGAAATCATAAGTCAGTGGGGAGGTCTGTCATGAATTTCAGAACATTAAACGGATCTACATTGATACCATTTACAACTATAAATACTAAATGTTAATATTGCTCTACCAATAAACAAAATACCAACATTTTTATATTGTCATGCCATGTTGCTGTGATCAAACTAACCAATCTGTGGTTACAACACTATTAGGTAAAATTACAACAATATTAAGTCAAATAACAAAAAACCAGAGATATTTTGACAGCAACCAGCAACTCTAAATCAAATGGGGAGATTATCGATTCTCATATACAAGTAAACAAAAAGAAGATAGTATTCTCGACAAACTATATCAAAAACATATCTGGAAATGAAAGTCGAAAGTCATCAACTAGCATTAATGATGGGTCACCATTTTTTTTGTAATAAAGATTGGTGGAAATGACCACAACCTTAATCATATTGATAAATGTATAGGTGGGAGATGAATATTTTTGAGAGGGAGAGGAATGGAAGGAAGAAGAGAGAGAGGGAGATGAAGAGGGAGAGAAGGACAAAGACGGAAGAAAAGAGAAAAGGAAGAGAAAGAGATGGGATGATGAAAGAAAGAGAATAAGGACATTTCTGTCTTTTTAGGCTTATTTCATAATTATAATTTAAAACCAGGTCCTTCTTAGTAATATGACTTATTCAGTTGACCTCTTTATAATTTTAGTAATTCAGGTTTTTATTTGTCATTTTCCCAAATTGTTCTCTAAAACATATTTTAATGACAAATAAATTGAATAATTGGGGGTGTCAGGAGGAGACTGCACCGACAAGGGACACTTGTGAAAGCTTTTGGCACAAAACCAATAAAGAACTGTCAATCATTCGAATTCTTCTTCCTTTTCATAATGGTACTGTCGTACGCCTCACACCTTTCCACCACGTGGCGCTCAATTACTGGACACGTCCTACCACGATATTTAAGCTACCGCCATATTTTATTAGTTTTATATATAATAAACAAATAAATATCTGATTTCTAATCTCATCCTTTAAATTAATAAATCATTATCAAGATAATACCAAACATCAACTAATCAATTATGTGATGGGGCTCCATACTTACATATGGGTTGGTTGCGTATTTAGACGGATTTTAAAGTCAACCACATGGCTGTTGCCTTGTAAATACTCTATATGCTACTACTTGCATCTTACATATAGTTTCAAGGGAGTATTTTTTTTTTAATATTCTTAATATAATTCACTTAATTAATTTTACACATAAATGTGAATTTTTCATATTAAATTAGGCTAAAGTTGCAAATTAGATTTTAAGGTTCATTTAATGAGATTTAAGGTATTTTGGATGAAATACATTAAAAATGTCTTATAAATTCAATCAAATATTAAAACTACTAAGAGTTACTCCTCCAATCTTAAATATAAGACCTTTATAGCTAAATATAAGACTTTTATACACACTAATATAAATGGTTTTCTATTTAGGGTTGGAAGAGTATATTCATAAGGGATAATATGATTTACTGGAGATTTTCATGCAAATCCGCAATATATATGATTTATTTTAAATTTTACACAAATACATCGATTGTACTCTGACCTAATAACTTAAAAACTTAGGTCTCGTTTAGTAGGAAGCATTAAAAATGGGGAATTGAGATTGTGATTGCAATTAAAAAAAATCATTAAAATAATATTTAGCATTAGTAATTACTTGTTATATGAGATTAGGTAAACCCATAGAGGTGGGATTGGGGAATATCACTAGTATTCTTTAATCACACATACATGGGTTTGACTAATCCCATATAAGAAGTAATCTTTCATACTAAACACTTTTTTAATAGATTTTCCTAATTGCAATCTCAATCTCTTAATTTCAATGCTTCTTACCAAACGTAATCATAGATCATTCGCAATTGCATGATCAATTATATTTTTTTTAAATAAACAGTTTGAATAGCTCTTACCATTTGTGATTATCCACTTGATCTTCTTAACATTGTTAAACAATTGATTATCCACTAACTTTAGTATGCAAAGAATTTGAGCAGCTGGACCCATTCTTTTTCCTTCAACCGCAACACTATCCTTTATTTATAAGAAAAATGTTTAGAAAATCCTCATAAAATTTGTTGTCCAAAAATATGACTTAGGATTTTAAATAGGTGCATCTCATTTTAAAAGGGTGCAATTATTTTTAGTTTTATGTGACATATCTTTACTTGTATGCATATACTCCCTTCACTCCATAACATCGGAGAGTACTTCTAAAGCAATTTTTTGTTTCTTTTTACAAGACCATTTGGTAATTTCAATAAGTAATAAATAGTTTTTTACACATATACCCATATTTTTTTACATATATTTTTTTCCTCACCTAGTGATGATATGAGTTTTTGTTGTTGTTCTTGCATACGCCTGTATTTAATGATAACAGTGAGAGAATAGAAATTCGTATGATGTTGGTATTTAATATAATTAATAAGAATAATATTAAAAATAACTTTAATTTTATGACAAATTTAATACTTTTAACTCTTTAATTGGCAGATTCTTATAACAAGAAAAGAGAATACTACTCCCCGTTCTTATTTTAAGAGATTGTTTAACTTTTATTTTAGTCCTAAATAGAAGACCCTAATTCATTTTGTCTCCCATATTTATTCATTTTTCTTTTTCAAGATAGTCTTTCTAATAATGGTACTTTTAACCAATAAACTTGATTAGTAAGGATATTTTAATAAATACAATATCTATTTATTACAAATAACTAATTTAACTTATTTATTTAATCTATCTAAATTAGCCAATTAATTTTTAGGGCTGGAAGCAGTAAGACAATATTATTTATTACAAATAACTAATTTAACTTATTTATTTAATCTACCTAAATTAGCCAATTAATTTTTATATTTAGAACTGGAAGCAGTAGACTATAGTTAATAGAAGGTTGTACGCAGCCGCCCTGCATAAGAGCTGTGACCGGATCCTTGAACAAATTTTGGAATAAATTTTTGCAATGGGAATTTTAAGAAATTTTCCCTTTCTTCAATTAATTTAAATTTAAATTTTGCAACCACCATTTGTTTTTTAATAGATAACGTGGGCCTAAATCTTCACCCGCTCGGCCTCTCCTCTTATACCCTAAATTAGAATCAGTCTAAGATTATATGTTCCTTTCTTCAACATCACCTTCCCAACTCTCATAACGTTGATTTTTCCCCAAAATGTATCTTCTTAATCCCTCCCATAATCATCCATTACTGATCTTCATTCTTCTTCTTCTTCCTCACTAATTACTCATAACTCCCAATTCATTCCTTCGTTTCTTCTAAAAATTACTACGATTTATTAACGCTCGCACTCATTTTTTCTACTTACAGTTCTGGGACTTCGGGAATGATGAAGAACGGGTTGGCCCTTCCGGAGAAACCATGGTTCTTGGTTTTGGCCCTGATTGGCTTAATCGGGGGCGCCTTTTACATATCCACCTTCGCCCGGAACTCTAACGGCTCCTTATTGTGTTCAGTCACGGCGGTCAGAGGCGGTGCGGCGGACGATCTTCCCACCACGTCGAGCCAGCTCAAGGCTATACTTCACTACGCCACCACTCACGTCGTCCCTCAGCAGTCGCTATCGGAGATCCGAGTTTCCTTCGATGTGCTCAGATCTTTAGGTCGGCCGAGCAACTTCCTCGTCTTCGGCCTGGGTCACGACTCGCTCATGTGGGAATCGATCAATCCCGGCGGTACCACTGTATTCCTCGAAGAGGACCCTAAATGGGTCCAAACAGTCCTTAAGGACGCTCCTCATCTTCAGGCTCACTATGTACATTACCGTACGCATCTCAAAGAAGCGGACCGGCTTCTCTCTTCGTATCGGTCGGAGCCGAACTGTTCGCCGGGAAAGGCCTATCTGCGTGGCAACGAGAAATGCAAACTGGCGCTCCACAATCTGCCGGACACGGTGTACGATAGGGAGTGGGATCTGATCATGATCGACGCTCCGAGGGGGTATTTCGCGGAGGCGCCGGGCCGGATGGCGGCCATCTTCTCGGCGGCGGTAATGGCGAGGAATAGAAAGGGATCCGGTGTGACGCACGTCTTCTTGCACGATGTGGATCGGAAGGTGGAGAAGTTGTACGCGGAGGAGTTCCTCTGTCGGAAATACAGAGCTCGTGCCGTAGGGAGGCTATGGCACTTCAAGATTCCGCCGGCGACGAACGTGTCCCACCATAGTTCTCGGTTCTGCAGCTAAATTGCGCCGACCAATTGCCACGGGATTTTTCCAGGAGAGCTGTGTTCCTCTCTATCCACAGCTTCTGGGTTCGACGATGATTATTATTATTTTACTTATTTTTGTTATTTCGAATTATGCTATATTGTTATATTACATATATTGTCCTATTACATTTACAGGGATTATTACTTTTTATATGTCGCTGTCTCTGTTTTTCACCCTTTGTTGGTGGCCTTCCTTTAGATTCTTAGATGTTTTTTTGCCGACTTGAGGAGACTGTGATGTGAATATATAAATAGAGAAGAGTCTGAGACTGATGAGCTCCTTGTTGGCAGAAAAATAGATGAGACCTTTGTTTCTGCTTTCCGGCCAAAATAATATATATATATTTTCCTGCTTCTTTGTTTGCTTTTGAATTAAAGTACCTCTACTCCTTAACATAACACAATATATATATATATATATATATATTTTAAGATAGTCTTTCTAATAATGGTAGTTCTGGTTAATACAATTGATTAGTAAGGATGTTTTAGGAAAGACAATATTTATTAATTATAAATAACTAGCTTAATTTATTTCTTTAATTTTTTTAAATTAGTCAATTAGTTCTTATAATTAGGATGGAAGGTAGTATAAACTTTGTTCTTTAGTATTATATGGATGATCTAAATATTCAGAAAAACGGTTAAGCGCAATTATAGTAATTTTTAGAAATGATCATAAATAGAGCTTATTGTGGAAACCAATTTTGCAAGAGCGCATCTTTAATTTTATGAATTTAATACTAACGTTGTTACCCAAAAAAAAAAGCAAATATTAACTTTTTTAGTGTTAATTTTTAAGGTAACAGTGATTATTACAAAAATCATCATCTGATACGAATTATATTGAGGTTAGAGGACTAAAAAATATTTCTTAAAATGAGAGATCAATATGAAATGTATATAAAGTTAGATGACCGAAAATGCGCAAATTAATTCAGAATTAACTCAAGAGAAAGTGGCAAACAATATAATTATGCGCAAGATTTTATATTTTTGATTTATTAAAAATAACATGTACCTCCATATGGCTTCACATAAGGATGACTTGAGGATTTTTTTGTCTTTTTTTTTTTGGGGTTCTGGAAAAAAGAAGGGATTCGTAATTTCTCGTTTGGGAGTGATGTGGGTCACAGGCGAAGAGGGGCGAGTGAAGGAAGGAACCTGGCAAGCAACAAAAGGCGAATTGGGACTATGACGTGGCAGGCCAAGAAAAACGACAGAGGCTATTTTCAGGATGTACGACGTCGTTTACCTTCCCCCCGGGGATCCGTGCATCATCAGGACCGGCATCGCGTTCAGGTCTCAGATCCCACATTCTCACGGCAATAATAAGATTTAAACTGATAATTTTATGGGAAAATCACTAACAGGTCCCACAGAAAGCAATTTATTACTCTGAGATCCCATGAAATGTCAAAATCACTGACAGGTTCCAAGGGACCTCAGAGTAATATTTTCGTTTTGTAAAATGACATTACTGCCCCTCATATTCCAGATTCACATTTGCTCTGTCATTACGATTTACAACCTCAGCAGCGACTATTAACAACCTAATGAGAGGGCGTTAACAACCCTAACAGTATCCGTTAACAACTTACTTTATAGAATTATATAACCTCTACATAAGAGTAAATTATAACTAAATAATATAATACAACAACTTTAACACTAAAATGGGAAGCTTTTTGATATCATTAAGAATTTTAACTAGATCCAATAGGATTATAGTAATATTTTAATGCGAATATCCATTTACAATCTCAACAACGATTATTAACAACCGAATGAGAGGGCATTAACAACCTAAGCAGTAGCCGTTAACAACTTACTTTATAGAATTATATAACCTTCGCATAAGAGTAAATTATAACCAAATAGTATAATACAACAACTTTAATACTAAAATGGGAAGCTTTTTGATATCATTAAGAATTTTAACTAAATCCAATAGGATTATAGTAATATTTTAATGTGAAGATTCATTTACAACCTCAATAGCAACTATTAACAACCGAATGAGAAGGCATTAACAACATAAGCAGTATCCGTTAACAACTTACTCTATAGAATTATATAACATCCGCGTAAGAGTAAATTATAACCAAATAGTATAATACAGCAACTTTAACATTAAAATGGGAAGCTTTTTGATATCATTAAGAATTTTAACCAAACCCAATAGAATTATAGCAACATTTTAATGCGAAAATCCATTTACAACCTCAACAGTAAGTATTAATAACCTAAGGAGAATTGTTAACAACCTTAGCAGTATCTGTTAATAACTAATTTTATCGGATAATATAACTTCTAACTATAACTAACTAAACTATAACTAAATAGTCTTAAAGTTAATCTTATATAGTTGTTAGAGGTTATATTATCCTATAAAGTCAATTGTTAATAGATACTGCCTAGATTGTCAACAGCTCTCTTTGGGTTATTAATACTCACCATTGAGGTTGTAAATGGATCTTCGCATTAAAATGTTGCTATAATCATATTGGGTTTAGTTAAAATTCTTAATAATATCAAAAAGCTTTCCATTTTAGTATTAAAGTTGTTGTATTATACTATTTGGTTATAATTTACTCTTATGCGGAGGTTATATAATTCTATAAAGTAAGTTGTTAACGGCTACTGCTTAGGTTGCTAATGCCCTCTCATTTGGTTGTTAATAATCGTTGTTGAGATTGTAAATGGATATTCGCATTAAAATATTACTATAATCCTATTGGATCTAGTTAAAATTCTTAATGATATCAAAAACTTCCCATTTTAGTGTTAAAGTTGTTGTATTATATTATTTGGTTATAATTTACTCTTATGTAGAGGTTATATAATTCTATAAAGTAAGTTGTTAACGGATACTGTTAGGGTTGTTAACGCCCTCTCATTAGGTTGTTAATAGTCGCTGCTGAGGTTGTAAATCGTAATGACAGAGCAAATATGAATCTGGAATATGAGGGGCAGTAATGTCATTTTACAAAACGAAAATATTACTTTGAGGTCCCTTGGGACCTGTCAGTGATTTTGACATTTTGTGGGACCTCAGAGTAATAAATTGTCTTCTGTGAGACCTGTTAGTGATTTTCCCTAATTTTATGGATCATGAATGGACTTTTGATCAACGGGATCAATTGTTATTCGCCACGTCGTTTGCGTTTCTGATCCCCGTGTGTTTCCCTGCCTGCCTCTTTCTGGTCAGTCCTTTCCTTGTAATTTGAGAGCCATCCGTTGCTACTTTCTTATAATGGTGGGGTTAGCTTGAAAACCCTTCCTCCACAAACAACCTTCCCCTTTAGGCTTCCCCCCCGCCCCTTTTTTCAAACCAGAAAATATATAAACTAAATTATTAATTTTAGGAAAAACTGGAGATGAATCCCCATTTAAAAATTTAATAGTGGAATGGGACTTGAATTTTTAAAGTCCTTTTAGAGGATTAAAAAAAGAAATGAAATTATCACAATACCTTTAATGAAATGCAATTAGAATCAAATATATACAATTAGAGATCAAGAATATATAATTAAGATAAGTGATGTACAATTAGATCCTATATACAACTAGGCATTATCAATATGCAATTAGAATCAAGCTTATACAACTTGAGATCAAGAATATGTAACGACGCATATGCAATATGCAATTAAGATCAAGCATATGCAATTAGAGATCAAGGACATACAATTATAATTAGTAATATGCAAAGATTCTATATACAAGTAAGCATCCTCAATATGCAATTAAGTTCAAGCATATGCAACTTAGGATCAAGGATAGACAATTAGGATCAGTAATATGTAATTAGGTCTTATATACAACTAAGAATCCTCAATATGTAATTAGTATTAAGCAAATGCAACTAAGGATCACGGATATGCAATTAAAATCAATGATATGCAATTAGGTCCTATACGCATTACGCAACTAGGCATATGTAATATACAATTAGGATTAAGCATATGCAATTGAGGTTTAAGGATATGGAATTAGGACAAGTGATATGCAATTAGGTCCTATATACAATTAAGCACATGCAATATGTAATTAGGATATTGTATATGCAACTTGGGATCAAGAATATATAATTACGATCAGTGATATGTAATTAGGTTTCATATGCAGCTAGGCATATCCACTATGTAATTGAGATTAAGCACATGCAACTCAAGATCAATGATATGCGATTCAGCTTATTTGATATTTTCACTCCTCAAACTTATTGTCATTAAGGTTAGGTTCCATTCTAAAATTAACTTTTCAAATAGGGATTTATCCCCAATTTCCCCTTAATTTTATCTTATATTAGTTATTTATAAAAAAATATGTATTAATTTTTTAAAATATACTTCATTTTAACCATTTACATCACAGATTCCATTTAAATATTTGCAATAAATAGTAATAATTTGAAAGAAAATTATAAATATAAAAAAATTGGAGAGCTGGATTTGATTATAAATATAAGACATTGATGCAGTTTATTTCTCATATTATTATTTTTTACAAACTAATTTATCTAACTTATAAACTGATACATAATCATAGTTATCTCTTTTTTTTTTGGGTCAAACTAATGTACCTAACTTGTAAATTGATATATTACTTTCGGACCTTAATATAAGAGCTAGTGAACTAATTTAAACAGATTAATAAAATTAGTTATTTATAATAAATAAATGTTATTTTTTCTAAAATACCCATGCTAATAATATGTATTAGCCAGAACTATTATGTGATGAAACGTTTAACATGTGTAACTACTGCAAATACTACTTTAAAAAAATAGATAAATATAAGATATATAATGAATTGAGGTGTTTTATTTAGAATTAAATTGGAAGTCAAACTAGCTCTTTTATTAAAGACAGAAAGTAGTATAATCTAATATTTTACATTACTATTTTAGGGAGTTTACATCAAATTTTTTATAATTAACTTGTCTAGCTTAATTGATCTGGTCGCAGCTCTAATATTAAGAATTGCGACTAAATATCTTCTAAGTAGGGTAGTTACCAAAAAATGACAAGGAAGAGGAGATCTTTACATATAAAAAAAAATCAAAATCAGAAATATAAAATTAAAAAGTTATTTTAATTAAATTTAACATTTAAATTGTTGGGGGAGAAAAAAAATCTATTTGTAGCCTTTTTCTGATAAGATGCTCCAAATAGCTTACGAAAATAAGCTTTTTATTTTTCAAGACATCGTTTGTGTATTTAGTTTAAATTCTCCCAACAGCTCATTTATAGTACCTATTTTCTTTTTATATTTAGTCCAACTAAAATTATTTTTTAATCTTAAACAAACTCAGTT